TGTACAATATGATTCCATTAAAAAAAATGTTAAAACACACATAGAGGGTAACGGTAGCGGACATGGACAGGGCCCTCATGGCATGCCCTGCATGGTGCTACGGGCTTCCCATCATCATTTCCTGCAGTCTTCCTATCAGCCCTAGGAGCTAGGTTCTGGCTCATTTCACATACCCTCATTTTACATAGACGTGGAAACCGAGGCACAGACATGAAGGACCTGCTCCCATCTCGAAGACTTTAGAGTTCTGAGTTCCTTGTGGTGCCTGGAGCGCCCTCCCACAGCGGAACCGGGGCAAAAACGTGTAAAGCCATGATCTGTGGAGATGTGTTGGAGGTGTGTCATGTGGAAAAGGGTTGGCTGTGCGTGGTGTGTCCCCGGCTGGGGACGGGGAGGCCCGCTGTGGCTGACAAGGAGGAGGAAGGGCTTCCTAGTTGCTGCCGGGCAGGGAGGAAGCCTGCATCCCTGGGAGTAACCAAGAATGAGCTGGGGAGGGGTTTCACAACAGGAAGACCTCTGAGGACTTCTTTTTTTATTTTTTAAAATTTATCTTTATTGTTGAATGTATGACAGATCTCCCATTTTTTCTCTCCATTGACCCCCCTCCACTCCACACCCATCTGCCCTAAGGATTTCTAATGTTCACAGTCTATGTCATAGACTCTATGAGGAGTGCAAAGCTAGCCCGGGAGAAAAACCCAGGGCTTTCCCTGGCCCGGTGCTGGGCAGAGAATCCAGGGGCTCAGGAGCTGCTTTTCACCCCTATTAGGGACTGATTTTTGGGTCCTCCCAATACGTATGTTGAAAACCTACCCCCCAATGTGATGGCATTAGGTGATGGGGGACCTTTGGGAGATTATTTGAATTAGATGAGGGCATGAGGGTGGGGACCTCATGAATGGGATTAGTGTCCTTATAAGAGTCAGGAGAGCCAGACCTGTGTGGCTCAGTGGTTGAGCAACAGCCTATGAATCAGGAGGTCATGGTTTGATTCCTTGTCAGGGCACTTGCCTGGATTCGCTCGGTCCCCAATAGGGGGCGTGCATGAGGCAGCTAATCAATGATTCTCTCTCATCATTGATGTTTCTATCTTTCCCTCTCCCTTCCTCTCTGAA